CATTATACATATTATATAATTTATATAATAATAAATTATAAATGTATAATAGCATTAAAAATATTTATAATATTTGAAAACAATAATGCAATTAAAGTCATACATCAAATACGACATGATCGGTTTGTCATTGGAATTAGCATCCAGGACTTGAAACGTTATTAGAGAAATAAAGTAATTGCTGATTAATAGATTCTATAATATTCGTTCACACAGTGGACAGCTGTAATATAACGATCTTGAATAATTTTATTAACACTAGCAATAAATGAACTGCATAAATGTCGATTATAAAGTATATCTGTATATAAATGATACACAGCTACACAAACTATTGTTGTGCTTGATCTCTTGTTTAGAGTAATAAATCTCAATATCAATTTACTATATTCATTTTTTATAAAAATATGCAACTTTGTAATACTTAATAGCCATCATAAACGAAAAACGTCTGAAAAAAGTGTCTTCGATATAATTCTGAAAAAGATATATGTTCGGCATGTTAGAGTAAAGCTGTACTGCTTTAATATTTTTTAATATCTATAAAAATGCAGAGAATTATTATGTTAAACAACACCTGAATAAATATTGTTCTCACAATTTTACTTGTCATGTAATTGTGTTTGAAGAACTTCATGTAATTAAAATTAACATACTATCATTCATTGCTTGTTAACTTCCCGTAGGGCAAGTTATAGTAATCGCAAAAAAATCGAAAATGAAAATTTTTGCATTTCTCGACGTTTCAAAGGTTTCTGAATATTTTGGCATACCTTAGAAAAAATTGATGTATGTGTGTGTGTGTGTGTATGTGTGTGTATGTATGTGCGGATACAAATTTTCGTCGACGATTTCGGGAACACCGATCAACCGATTTGAATAATTCAAAGAACATTCGATTCGTATTGATAAGGAGACGTGCTGATTAGTTTTTGGCGAAGGCAGGTCTAGCCGTTCCCAAGGTACGGGGCAAAAAGTGCCAAAAACGGTAACTCAGTTTTTAAGAGAACGGAGCGTCCGATTTTAATAATTCAAAAAACATTTTACTTGTATTGACAAGGTGAAGAACCGATCAAATTTTCATAAAGGCAGGTCTAGCGGTTTCGGAGATCTAAAGAAAAAAGTAAAAAAAAAATGCCATTTGGCGGTCAAAAATGATCATTAGACATATGCACATCAAATTATCAGATATTTTTCAGAGATTTTAACAATAAGTATAAATTTGGTTTACATTCCTATGGGTTCCGTACCAATGCTTTGATATTTTGTCTTTATGCAGTTTAAGCAGTACGATTGCTTTGAAAAAAATTTAGATCTTCCAAAATATGTCAAAATAAAGAAAAAATTTATTTTTTCAAAAAAAAAATTTAAAATGAGAACAAAATTTTTTTTTAATTTTTTTTTTCAAAGAAAAGTAATTTTATGTCCAATTTCTCAAAAATCTTATTTTTTGGAAGTAAAATTTTTTCAAAAATGCTAATTGTTTTTAAAAAAATAATAATTTTTGGTACGGGAAGTTCCAGCAATTTGCCTTAAGGCACGATGCCTTAATTTCCTTAAGACAGAATTCCACTTACAGCTAGTTTTTTTTTTAGTTTTTCGCTGGCGATACAGTTTCATTCTTTGAACAGTTGTAGTATCTGTCTTGCATATAAAAATAATTTCCACATCAATATAAAACTTGTATGAACTTTTTATTGTTTCCATACGTTTCGACACATTGTTTTGTGTCATCTTCAGTGGACTCTAGTGTGAAAGCACAGATTAAAGCTAATAATTAAAACTAATTTATAAGAAAGTGATATGGTGTAAAAACTTACATGTAATTGTAGTATTCCTAATTAATTCATGATAATAATTGTTCACAAATGCACAAATAAAACAATTCTTGTCACTTTAAATCGGAACAATTATATAAATTATTTATAATATTGTTCCGACTTAAAGTGACATGCATTATAAAAATATGCACATATAAAACAATAACGTACAAATAAAAACAATTCTTGAAAAATTGAAGTCTTTTAAAAAGTATAACAAAATCAGAAAAAATTAATATGTAGCATTCGCGGTAAAATTACAATATCACTTTGGATTTTTCTACCCAAAATAATTCAATAATGTTCTATCATAA